GTGGGGGGTGGGGGGGTGTATCCCAGCAGGCTCCTCCCAGCCAGCCTCGCCCCGCCCCTGCCTGGACCCCAGCTCAGGACGCCTGGTGAGCCCAGCTGGGACCCCCTCCTTGAGGCAGGGTCAGGACAGGACGGGGATCAGGCTGCGGGCTCAAGTCCCAACCAGGTGGCTCAGCTGGGCTCTGCTGCCTCTGTGGTCTCGCGGCCTTGGGGCTGAAGAACCTCAGGCCTCTAGTTAAAGGCACGACTTTGTGCACTTGGAATGTGTCAGGAGTGTGGATTTTATGGTGGACGTTCTGACCCTGGGCATGGCCCGGTGGTCAGTGCCCGTCTCCCTGGTGGGGCCCTGGGCTCCATCCCAACACTGCTAAACGGATCAACAACGGCAGAGGGACACAGGCAACTTTGGGAGGTGACAGGCGCGTGCAGGACCTGGGTGGTGCCGGTGGCCACTGGGGTCCTGCTCCAGGGCACTGTCCCTCAGTGTACCAGAGCAACGTGCTGTTAAAAGCAACTTCCCTTCTCCCAGAGAAAGGCCCTGGAGATCTTGGGGTCTCTCCGTGGCCTCCCCGTGCCCCTACAACACCCCATGGTCTCCCATGACCGGGGGCCTGACCACCGGGTCCCGGGACACGTTGACCTGAGCAGACGGGGGGCCCAACTCTGTACAGAACCAGGTCCCCCTGGGCGCAGAGGTGCGTGCCTGTCGTCCCCTGACTTAGGAGGCTGAGGCAGTTCCAGCAAGTTCGAGGTCGGCCTGGGCCGGGGCCAGAAAGCCCGGGGTGTGCTCAGCGGCAGGGCTCAATCTCAGGACAAAACAACAACAGAAAAGTAGCCCTAGACCCCGGTCTCTTCCTCCTCAGTGCCCCTGGCAGGGATGTGCCCAGGTGGGGAACCAGGCCCACCGAGGCCAGGGAGGGCCGGCTCTGGCCCTGCCCCCTGCTCCTGGGCCCCGTGCCCCTCAGAGTGTGCTCCCTGTCCACACCCGAGTCCCAGCCGAGTGTCCGGAATTCGTCACGGTTGGCTGCAGACTGGGACTGGGACCCCTGTGGGCGATGAGAGCCGGCTCTGGACTAGACCCTCGAGGCAGGGCTCCCGTGGCTGGCGGCCACCCTGAGAGGTGCTCCCAGGGAGATGCGGGAGAAGGGCAGGAGGTGGCGCGGGCCAGCATTGAGGCTCGAGTCTAGCCTGACCCTCACCTGAAGCCGTCCCCTGTTGGCTCTGCCCACTGTGGCCACTTTAGTCTCTGCGACTTGTAACTGAAAGGTCCCGGTCTCATGGGACCGGCATCCCCCGGCTCCTCTGCTCCTGGGACAGTTCCTGCTTCTCAGGCCTCAGATGAGGCGCCGACTCGGGCAGCCCCCTGGGCCGAGGGCCTGCTGGCCTTGCACTGTGTCTGAAGGCGGGCGCCTGGCTCCACGTCCAGGCCACCTGCCTGGCAGGGCAGGTCGGCGCACAGGTGGGGCCCCCTGCAGCGGGGGCTCCGCCTCCCCACCTGAACCCTGAGCGCCTCTCAGGGTGCCTCTCCCATGTGTCTCTGAGCCTGACCCAGAATCGAAGTCCCTTCGTTGAGTGGGATTGAGGGTGTCGGGCAGGAGCCCTGGGGATGAGGTGTGGCTGGCTCTGGTGGGCGGCTCCTCCCAGCCGGCAGCAGTTCTGCTCCATTCCCACCCAGAGGTCGCCCCCGCGCGCACAGCAGTGCCACCTCGCAGCCCAAGGTGCACCCCAAGTGAAGGCACACACCTGGCCCACAGCCACCCAGAGCGCTCGGCCAGGGCAGGAGTAGGGGACCCAGAGCAGCGTGGACGGACCTGAGGACCTGGTGCTCAGTGAGTCCAGAGCCTGGCGGGGGCCTGGGGTGCGGGGGCAGGGGACTGCGAGTGGGTGGGGCTGCTCTGGGTGGTGGAAGGCTCTGAGGGTGCGATGGCTGCACAGCACGTGGGGGTCTGTGTGTGGCTACTGAGTGGGGTTATGTGCTCAGGGTCCTGAGTTCCTCTGGGGATGGGGCCCCGACAGGACCCAGGGATGACAGAGCTGGAGTGGGAGAGGGTCTCCCCTGGTGGTGCCCAGCCCTGGGCCGGGCCCCCAGGAGGCCGGAAAGCCGAGGGGCCCTACAGTTTGGGGTGCTGGGACAGTGGGAAGGCTTTACAAAGCTCCTGAAGACCAGCGAGTCCTTGAAGGCACGAGGAGAGCTGTCCCTGGTGGACCCAGGGCACACCAGGAGGAGGTGCCGGGCCCCCTGGGTCGTGGGACCTTGAGCACCACTTGTCTGGATTTTTTGGAACCACCTCCCAGTTCTCCCTTTTAAGTAGAAGGTTTATTTGGGAATGATTTTAGATTCCCAGGGAGTTTGCCAAGATACTCCCCGTGCACCCTCAGTGGGCAGGCCATGAGGCCTCCACCCCAAAGGCTCTCACGTCCTGATCCCCGGAACCTGAGGCCACGGGGGTCACCCAGGGTCACCACAGGGTCCTCCTGAGAGGAGGCAGGAGGGTCAGGGTCAGAGGGCTGGAGGATGCTCTGCTGCTGGCCTTGGAGCTGGAGGAGGGGACAGGCCTCTCCCGGGCACACCTGGGATAAAAATCGGGGGCTGTTTCTGTAGTCAGCAGATCTGGTGTGGCCCAGGTCATCTGGGTTGTGACACTTTGTCGTGACAACCACGGGAAATGAGCCTGATCTGTCCCTACCAAGGCGCCGGCGCTGGGGCTTCTGCAGGGCTGACCGGCCGCAGCTGTGACCACCACCAGCGTCGTCTAAACCGGCACTTTATGTGGGTTTCACCAGTCATTTTTTTTTTTTCTCCAATGAATGTCCTTTCTCTGTCCCAGGGTCCCTTATGACATTGGGCTCTTTCTCTGGTAATTAGTAGAAAGACTCACCCGGATGGAAAACGGATTATTCCTGTGGGAATTTGGCCAGTTCCGATGCCCACGCAGCACCCTGAATCCAGCCAGAGTCCATCAATGTCCCTGAACGGAGGGGGATGCTGCGTCGGGTGGGAGCAAGGCTGCAGGGAGGGTGTCCCTCTGCAGGGGCGGGGCCTGCTGGGACATGGCAGGGCCAAGGTCAGACTGAGGACCTGCTGCTGGAGCTCCCAACCTGGTGGACAGAAACCAAAGCAGCAGAGAAATAGGGCACATTTCAGGTTACAATGGAGCCCAGACGTCTATCAGGGCAAGAGAATGATGTGGTGGCCACTTGGGCAAAGGTGGCCCCTGACTGCTGGGTCCTAAAACACGGCAAGGCAGACATGTGGGGGTGGAGGAGCACGTGCAAAGGCCCTGCAGGTGAATGAGGTTGGTGTGGGTGGGAGGGCCAACAGGGAGGTGGGTGGGAGGACATGAGGGCCACTCTGTCCCCCCAAGCAGGCACTGCAGTAGAACCCTCCTGCATGAGCTGTTCAGCAATGGAGCCGCGCCCAGGACAGTTCACATCACTGGGGAAGCCCAGCCCAGTGCAGGCAGCAGCCGGTGGACCTGTCTGCCTCTGTCCCCGGTGTGTCTGGGCCTCGGGGACCCACCGTGGTGACCAGGTCCTCCTCTGCTCTCCGGCTGATTCTCTGCACCCTGGCTTCAGGCTCTGCCGTGGGAGACTGAGATGGGGAGCAGCTGGCTTCAGGCTGGCTCCAGTCAAAATGAAGATGCTTGGGCACCACCGTTGCCGAGGCCACCCCTGGACAGTGTGGGGGGTGAGGGGGGAGGAAGGGAGGCTCCCAGAGGACTGGAAGATCTAGAGCCAGGGTGGGGAAGAGCAGAGGGGGGGTCCTGGGGGTCCAGAAGCCGCAGCGAGTCCAGGCGCCCGCTCCAGGCCACGCGGGCCTCGTCCCTGCAACACGGGGTGGGCTGGGTTCCGGAGCTAGTGCAGGTGGGGCCCCTCCTGCGTCCTCTGCCGCTGGGGCTGCTGGTCCCCGGGGACCTTCCTGGCCGGGATGAGGGCTCACGAGTCCAGGCATGTGGGACTCCAGGACACAGAAGGGGACCGGATCTGGGCTGAGTCATGTCCCTGGGCGCGACGTCCCCAGATGCTCCCACCTTGGCAGCTTCCAGCAGGAGGGGGCTGGGAGGCTGGGCCCTGGTGGCCCGACCCCGTGCCAGCCCCGTGATGGGGCCAGCGGCCTCCGGGAGTCCGGCTCCCTGCCTGCTCAGGGCCCGTCCACCTGCCGCAGGTATTTTGAGAAAAGCTTCCCAGAGCTTCTCCTGAGAAATCTGCTGAGTCTGAAGAGTCACCTCAGGGCAGCGGAGCGGAGACTGGGGGGGACCTGGGCGTGCCTCCTGGATGGGTGCACAGGGTGGGCGCCAGGCAGGGCTCCGCACCCACCCCCTTGGCGGCGGGACCCCGGGGTGGGGATGCAGGCTCGGGCAGCCCGAGGCCACTTGGCCCCTTACGGCGGCCCACAGGCTGGGCCTGCTGGCTCCTCTGTACAGTGAGGGTGCAGGGAGCCCCCCAGCTGGGCGCCGAGGGACACAAAATATCTCTTTTTCATTTTTTTTATTGTGGCAAAAAATACATAACACAAAATGCACCGTCCTCACCTTCTTTAGTGCAAGCTTCAGAGGCATGAAGCCCGATCCCAGGGCTGAGCAGCCGTCCCCACCACCACCTCTAGAACTTTCCATCTTCCCACCCTAAAGCTCCTGTCCCCTCCCAGCCCTGCTCCCACTGTGCTGCTTCCTGTCTCTGTGGATCTGAGTCCAGGGGCCTCCTGTGGGTGGACCCTGCAGTCTGAGTCCTGCCGTGGCTGGCACAGGTCACTGAGCAGTGTGTCTTCAGGGCCATCCACAGGACAGTGTGTCGGGGCCTGGCTCCTGTGGGCGGATGAGTGCTTGGTTATAGGGACAGGCCACCTGGGCTGTCCATTTCCCTGATGGACGCTGGGCTGCCCGCACCCTGGTGGGTGGGGCTCCACTCTTCATTGTGCGGTCAGCTCACTCCACTCTCCAGGTGGGTTTCAAGAAAGGAGTCTGAAGGAGCCGGTCTCCCTCTGGTCCTGACCCTGCGGCCCATCCCCTCCAGCCGGGAAGGGGCATGCCCCCCACTTCCAGGGCCACCCCAGGACCTGTCCTGACACCACCCTGCTCCCTTTGCTCTGCGGTGGAGTAGGAAGGTTCGCGTCGGGAGGAACTTGCTCCCATGAGGCGCACTCTCCCGTGGCGCTGAGCGCATCCAGGGCACGAAGCCGCACAGCCCTCTAGGACCCACTGCCCGTCCCCCTGGGCCCCAGTGTCTCCGAGAGGCCCTGGGCAGGGCCAAGGCTGTGCTGGGGATTCCTCCCAGGGGCCCCCAGAGCCCCCACCAGGCAAGGGTGGGCAGGGAGTCCACCAGGACTAGGGCAGTGTCAAGGAGGTGGGGAGGGGTCCCTGCCCAGAGGGGCCAGGCTGGGACCAGGATAGGTCCCCAGTTCTGAGGCGGAGCCTCAGCCAGAGAACCCCCGAGGCAGCCAGAGGGGAGGGGGACTGGCCTGGGCCGAGCATCAGCTGACGGGCAGGCTGCAGGGCTCTGGGCCAGGAACTCTCATTTCTTCCCCCAGGAAACTTCTGGATTCCCACCAACTGGGCCTGGAGCAAGGGCTCTGCCTGGCACTGCTCCCTGGGCTGCTGGGGCAGGAGGCCTCAGGGGCAGTGCCGTGGGGCAGGGGCTGTGGATCCACTGCTGCCTGGACTCCGGGCAAGGTCTGGCCCCTTGCAGTGGGTGATCTGGGCTTGCACAAACCTCTCTGAGCTGGGGTTTCTGGTCTGTGTCCCTTGGGGCTGAGAACAGCACCTAGCTTAGGGACCAGCCTTTCCCAGACAGGGCCTGGCTGCCTGTGATCCCCCAAAGCCTTCCCATCCCTCTGTGGCACTTGGTTAGATCTCAGACCATCTCCTGGCAGTTCCTTCTACAGTCTCAGCTGCACCAGGGCCCATCTGGGTCTGTCTTGGGCAGCAAGGTCCGCACATAGTAGGTGCTTAGCACCTACTGGGTTATCTCAGTGGAGGGGTGCGGAGGGAAGGAAGCGCCTCAGGGTTCCAGTGACGTGATGGCTCAGACCCACGTGCCCCTGAGCTACTCTGCTTCTCCCTGGCAGGGAACCTGGGCTCCTCAGTGGGCCTTGAGTCCTCCGCCCTGGCACCGAGACTGGGACCCTGCCAAGGTAGCTGCACCTTGCTCCATCAAACATATCGGGTCCTTGGGTCCCCCACTCCCCGGACCTCATTGGACACACCAGGTGAGTGGGCGGCCATCTCTTATCCCCCTGGAGTGGCCAGGCTGCTTCTGAAATCTGGTCTCTGGAAAATTCCAAGGCCTGGTTCCAGCCACAGGGAGCCCTGCTAACCCCTCCCCACTGCGTTACATAACATTTGGGGATTAACACCAAGGAGTCCCAGGCAGCTGCCCGGTCCATGGCCACTGCTCCCTCGTGGCCCGCCAAGTGGCCTGAGCACCCTGGGGCTCTGGGTGTTCACCCGGAAAGCCACAGCGGGTCCTGGCAGAGGCGGTGAGGGGAAGTGGTGGTGCCCAGGAAAGGCCAGCGGCCACCGACTCACCTTCCCCTCGCCATCCCAGAGACACCCGGCTAGGCTGCCCAGGACACAGGGTCCGCTCAGGTCCTCCTCAGTGCTGAATCTCCCCCAGTCCTGCCTCCTTTGTCCCCCTACTGGGTCTCACTCCCCCTGCCCACCAGCCTTGGAGACACTGGGCTTCTCTCCCACTCTTAATCCTGTTGTGACTCCCTAGTGCCCCAAGCCATCAAGCCAGTGTCATGTGGGCCCCAGGACCACAATCAGACTCATGGCTAAGCACTCCACCGCAGCCCGCACGTGGCAGCCGCCTTCCCTGGGAGGCCTGGAGCCTCAGCTTCCTGCGGGTGGGGTGGGGTGGGGCTGGGAATGGACACTGTGACAGTTCCCAGGACGCCAGGAGGTGCAGGGCTGGAAGAACAAAAGGGTCCAGGCAGCGCTTGGCTCCCACTCGCGCACAGGGCACGGGCGCTGCCCTGGTGGCAGAATCTTCCCCAGCCCCTGCGGCCCTGGCCCCGGCATCTGCCGCCCGCAGGTGGCGCGGCTGGGAGCGCCTGGCCCCGCCCCGGCCCCCATCCGAGGATATAAGGAGCCCCGACTGCGCGCGGGCCGAGCGCGGCGCGGGCTGGTGCCAGCTGGCTGCGCAGCGCCGGAGCATGGAGCCCGGGCCGAGGCGGCGGCGCCAGAGCCACCAGCCAGTGGCAGCCTTCTTGCGCGACCCCAGCTCCGGGCGCGTCTACCGGCGCGGGAAGCTGATCGGCAAGGTGGGGGCCGGGCACCCGGAGTCCGCCGCGAGGGGCCGGGCTCGGAGTCCTGGCGGGGGCGAGGCAGGGTGGGGAGAGAGCGCGCGATCACCAGGACAAGGTGTGTGGCTCGGCTTGTGTCTCCTGAGCCCAGCTTTTGTCTCTGCATGTGGCTCGCATCCGTGCGAGTTTGGGGTCCTGAGCGGAGCTTGAGTGGGCTGGGCATCTGGGGCTTGGTGCACCTCTGGGGCTTGGAGTGCCGATCCTGTGGCGGGAACCCCGTACTCAGCGCGCGTCTGGGGTGTGCGTCTGGTGCCTTTTGTAGGTCTGTGACTGTGCTGCACTTCTCGGTGCTCCTGGGTCTGCGCGGTTCTTCGCCCGCTGTGCGTTTGTGCGCCCAGGTCGTTTGGGTCCATACATTGGTTTGTGTGAGTCGGGGTGTTGAGTTGTGTGCTCCTGTGTTGTGTCCAGTGTGGTGCATTAGGTGTTGTGTAGGGATGCTGTGTGTCCAGCTACTGTGTTGTGTTCTATGGGTTGTAGGTGTCTAGGTCTGGATGTGTCTGTGGATCTGGGTGTTTTGTGCCCCTGTGTGTTGTGTGTCCAGGTACTTTTGTGGTCTGTGGGCTGTGTTGAGGGCTGGCATGTATTGGTCCTGTGTTGTGCTGTGTCTGTGTCTGGGTGCTGGGTCTCTGGTCACTGTTTCTAGGTGTGTGCAGGTGCTGGGTGCTGGGTGTGGGGACCAGGTGCTGCACTGTGGTCTGTGGGTCACATGCACCCAGCACTGCGTGCGTGTGCCTGCACCTGTGTGCCTGTCCACGTGTCATGGGTCCAGCTTTGAGGGTGTGAGCTGTGTGCAATTTGTCTCCAGCATGTGTGTGTGTGTGTGTGTGTGTGTGTGTGTGTGTGTGAAGAGCGCTGGCCACACCTGACCCCAGCAGCCCGGTGCCTCCATGGGCACTGCATTTTCAGAGGTGTGGCCAGCGTGTCCACACGCCCTGTGCACCTGTCCAGTCCAGAGGCTAACCCCTCTCTTACTCAGGGTGCCTTCAGCCGCTGCTACAAGCTGACAGACATGTCCACCAGCACTGTGTTTGCCCTTAAGGTGGTGCCGCGGGCTGGGAGGCTTCCCTCCAGAGGAAAGGTGAGCACCTCATGGGCCCTCCAGGGTCCCGCCAGCAGCGCGGGCTGCCCTTCCTCCCCAGGGGCAGGGTGATGCTGGTGGCCTGAATCCCCCGGCACCCCTCATACCCGGGCATGTGGGGACGTCCCACAGGTGGAGCGCGAGATCGCCCTGCACAGCCGCCTGCGGCACCACAACATAGTGGCCTTCCACGGACACTTCGCTGACCGTGACCATGTGTACATGGTGCTGGAGTACTGCAGCCGACAGGTGCTGGGGGAAGGGGAGCCAGAGGGGGAGCCAGCTTCCCGCCCCTCGTCCATTTGTTCCCACCAGTGCCAATGGCATTCGCTGTCCTCGGTCCAATCAGCATGCTTCCTGTGCCCATGTATGGCCACCTGTGTCCATCCTTCATTCACCTGTGCCCACCAAGAACCCCCTGTGCCCACCTGTGCCCACCTGTGTTCAGTGCATGCTGTGGTCATCAGGCTCATCTTGTGCTCATGTGTGGCCACGGTGCCCACCTGAACCTAATTGTTTCTACTTGGCCCACTTAAACCCACTCATGCCCACCTGTGCTCACCTGCATGCACCTGTGCTCACCTGAACTCTTCCTGCACCTAGCTCTGCCCCCCTTGGCCCAGCTGAACTTACTTCAAACTTCACCGACACACAGAAGCTCTCTCTGCCCACTTGAGCACACCTGCACTCACCTGGTTCACCTCCGTCACAGAGCCCTTCTCAAGCTCCTCTGGGCCATCTGGGCCCCTGTGAACTTGCCTGTTCCCACCTCTCGCCGAGCCCTCCCAAGTGCCCCTTGTGCTCACCTGGGCCCGTCCAGCCGTCCTCTATACCTGCTTGGGCCAAGTTGGACTTCCCTTTGCCTTCTTGGGCCCCTTGAACTCAATGGCCACCTAACCTGTACCCACCGGGTGCTGTGTGCTGCTGGCTGGCCACCTGCAGTCCTTGGCCCATGTGCTGAAGGCGCGGCAGACCCTGACGGAGCCCGAGGTGCGCTACTACCTGCGGGGCGTGATCGGTGGCCTGCGCTACCTCCATCAGCGGCGCATCGTGCACAGAGACCTGAAGCTCAGTGAGTCCAGGGCTGCAGGGGCGGGAGTGGCAGGGTGTCCTCCCCTCACGCCCCTGCAACCTCCCCACCGGCAGGTAATTTACTCCTCAACAAGAAGATGGAGGTGAAAATTGGAGACCTGGGACTGGCCACCAGGTTGGGGCCAGGGGGCCGCTGCCACAGGTGAGAGTGGGAGACCCTGAGAAGACCCTGTGGGTAGGTGAGGGAGGCCCCAAACCTGGCAAGGGGCCCCAGCCTCCCACCCCCCATCATTCCTTCCCAGGGTGCTCTGCGGGACTCCAAACCTCCTGGCCCCAGAGGTGGTGTCCAGAAAGGGGCACTCCTGCCCATCAGACATCTGGGCCCTGGGCTGCATCATGTGAGTGGGGCAGGGGGTAGGACTGCCTCAGCAGGACCAGGCAATGGGCAGGTGGGAGCATGCACATGGGCAAGGACAGGTAAAGGCAGGTACTGGAGAAGGTTAAGTGGAGAGAGGAGAGTTATGGAGGTACAGGCACAAGGGGACAGCACCTGTCGTCATGTGAGTGTGCAGGAGTAAGTGGGGCACACGTGCACAGGTACATCTGAGGGAGGAATGAGCGTGCACAGATGTTGAACAGGTGGGTGCAGGTGGCTGGCACAGAAGATCAGGGTGCAGATGCCTGTGCACACGCTGGGGTTGGACAGGTGCTGGCAGGTAGAGCACAAAGTCCCTGAGCAGCGTGCACAGGAGAGGCCGGGGCACGTGGATCAGCTCAGGTCTAGGAGAGTGCACACTGAGTGTCAGAGGAGGGGCGTGAGGTGGGTAGGGATGGCTGGGTGTGCACAGGTAGCTGTGAGCAAACTGAGGACACGGGTGCCTTTGTTCCTGCCCCCACCTGGCCCAGGTACACAGTGCTGACTGGCACCCCACCTTTTGCGGCGGCATCCCTGTCAGAGATGTACCAGAACATCTGTGATGGCCACTATCCAGAGCCTGCCCACCTGTCGCCCAATGCCCGCCGCCTCATTGCCCGCCTCCTGGCACCTGATCCAGCTGAGAGGCCCAACTTGGACCACCTGCTGCAGGATGACTTCTTCACACAGGTGAGGCAGAGATGGGGCACAGGTAAGGCACAGGTGGGCCACAGGTGAAGTACAGGTGGGGCACAGGTGAGGCAGGTGGGGCACAGGTAGGGCACAGGTGAGGCCAGGTGGGTCACAGGTACGGCACAGGTGAGGCACAGGTGGGGCACAGGTGAGGCCAGTGGGGCACAGGTAGGGCACAGGTGAGGCACAGGAGGGCCGTAGGTAGGGCACAGATGAGGCAGAGTAGGCACAGGTAAAGCAGAGGTGGGCCACAGGTAGGGCACAGGTGAGGCACAGGTGGGGCTCAGGTGAAGCACATATGGTCCACAGGGCACAGGTGAGGCACAGGTGAAGTACAGGTGGGCCACAGGTAGGGCACAGGTGAGGCACAGGTGGGGCACAGGTGAAGCACAGGTAGGGCACAGATGAGGCACAGGTGAAGCACATGTGGTCCACAGGTGGGACACAGATGAGGCACAGGTGAAGCACAGGTGGGCCAAAAGTAGGGCACAGGTGAGGCACAGATGAAGCACAGGTGAGGCACAGGTGAAGCACATGTGGTCCACAGGACACAGATGAGGCACAATTGAAGCACAGGTGAAGCACATGTGGTCCACAGGTAGGGCATGGATGAGGCACAGGTAGGGCACAGATGAGGCACAGTAGGCACAGGTAGGACACAGGTGAGGCATAGGTAGGGCACAGGTGAGGCACAAGTGGGGCTCAGGTGAAGCACATATGGTCCACAGCGCACAGATGAGGCACAGGTGAAGTACAGGTGGGCCACAGGTAGGGCACAGGTGGGGCACAGGTGAAGCACAGGTAGGGCACAGATGAGGCACAGGTGAAGCACATGTGGTCCACAGGTAGAGCACAGATGAGGCACAGGTGAAGCACAGGTGAGCCACAAGTAGGGCACAGGTGAGGCACAGGTGGGGCACAGATGAGGCACAGTGAGGTACAGGTGAAGCATATGTGGTCCACAGGTAGGGCACAGATTAGGCACAGGTGAGGCACAGGTGAAGCACAGGTGGGCCACAGTAGGGCATAGGTGAGGCACAGGGGGCACAGGTGAGGCAGAGGTGGGGCACAGGTGGGGCACAGGTGAAGCACAGGTGGGCCACAGGTAGGGCACAGGTAGGGCATAGATGAGGCACAGGTGAGGCACAGGTGAAGTACAGGTGGGCCACAGGGCACAGGTAGGGCATAGGTGAGGCACAGGTGGGGCACAAGTGAGGCACAGGTAGGACACAGGTGGGGCACAGGTGAGGCAGAGGTGGGGCACAGGTGGTCCACAGGTAGGGCATAGGTAGGGCAGAGGTAGGGCATAGGTGAGGCACAGGTGGGGCACAGGTGGTCCACAGGTAGGACACAGGTGGTCCACAGGTAGGGCACAGGTGGGGCACAGGTAGGGCATAGGTGAGGCACAGGTGGGACACAGGTGGTCCACAGGTAGGGCATAGGTGGGGCACAGGTGGGGCACAGGTGGAGAACAGGTGGGAGCTGAGGGTGCTCAGGCCCTGTGCAGGGAGGCCTGGCCCAGGTGAGCCGGGTGCTGGGAGCAGGGCGGCCTGTGGTTAGGTGGAGAGAGGAGGGTTGTGGAGGTGCAGGATCAAGGGGACAGGCACCTGTCGTCATGTGAGTGCGCTGACCCTCCGCCCTGCTCTGAAGGGCTTCACTCCCGAGCGGATGCCCCCCCACTCCCGCCACAGCCCCCCGGTCTTCACCTTCCCACAACCTCTGGGCAGCCTCTTCCGGAAAGTGGGCCAGCTACTGTCGACCCAGTGTGGACCTCCCTGTGAGTGCCTGGCTGCCCACCCCTGCCCATGTCCCCAGCACTGGCTCTCGCCTGCCGCGGCCGTCCCACCTGCTGGTGCTGCCCAGGCCTCCCCCTCTGCCAGCTGCGGCTCTGCCAAAGCCTTATGCTCCCTCAGGCCCCTTCACCTCCAAAGAGGCCTCGGGCCCAGGAGAAGGGCCAGAACCTGACTCCGTGGACTGGGGCAGCGAGGTGAGAGGGCACAGGGGGGCACCGCACCCCTGAAGCTCCTGCCCCACGCAGGCTTCCCTGGGCCTCTGGGGACCCCCAGGCCCCTCCATCTGGTCTGACTCACGGGGCCCCTCTGCATCCAGCTCTCCTCTGCCCGGTTCCCCCTGGGACCCACCCCACACCTGGTTCACCCCCTCGTGCTTCTGAGTGCCTACTGGATGCCCTGTGAGCTGCTCCCAGAGGGCACCATTCCCGTGGGTGCTGAGCAGGGCGGGCGGAGGGAGCTGCTGGGGGTCGGGGCTGGGGGCCGGGGTCCCTCACCTCTCCCACTTCCTCCAAAGGCCTCCCTGTCTGAGAGACGGGCTCACTGTCCCCAGGCCCTCGTCCACTTGCTCACACAAGGGACCCTCCGGAGCGACCCGGCAGGTGAGCAGGCCCTGGGCCCTGGCAGTGAGCACCTGCAGGAGGCGCATCCCCAGCCTGGCCACCGCCCCCTCCTGGTCCACACCTGAAACATGGGGAACTGTCCTTCTGGGTTAAAGATGAGACTTTTCCTGGATGTGAGAGTCTGGAGGGGCCCAGCCTGGCTGCCCCCACACGCTCTGACCCCCCAGGTCCACAGGAGAGCCCAGAGACGGAGGTGGCAGCCGCCATCAGGAACCTACAGCTCTGCCTGGACGCTGGCCCTGTGGGTAGGAGCCGCCCCGCCCTGTCTGCCCAGCATTACCTGAGTGTCCAGGGTCCCCCTCAGGGCCTCCCCATTTCAGGGGCTGAGCTGGGGACCGGGAGGCCTCAGGGTGCGGTGACTCCCAGCAAGTCCCTGGGCCTCGGGGTCAGCCGTGCTGGGGAGGGCTCGGGAGCTCTCTCCTCTCAGGGTGGCCACCTCAGCTTCTTACCCAGCCTTGCCCGAGAGCCACGGAGGAGGCGTCCATCCACTCCACCCGGGAGATGGGACCCTGTCCTCAGTGTCCCCAAGCCCCAAACCCTGCCTCCCCTCACCTGTCACCCGCCACAGCCTCCCACCTGCCTGGGGAGGACCCAGGCCCAGCCCCAGGTGGCACAGGTCTGTTCCCATCGCCTCTTCCGCTTCCCCAGGCTGAGTACGAGGAAGACCCCTCACTTTAGAGGCTCTAAGCAACCGGAGCCAATTTTTATATCCTTAAGATTTTTAATAAATGGTAGAAAGTGGTTCGAGAAAAGATAAGCAGGAACCTCCAGACCCCTCCCAGGTGGGCTCGCTGCCAGGACGTGGGCGGCTGAGATGCCCCCACGGGGCCAGACAGGAACCGAGTGCCCGCTGTGTCCGTTTAGCTGGTCGCCTGGTGTCAGACGCCACCAGTCCCCACTGCCTCTCCGTTCTCTTCCTCCTCTTCCTGTGGAGCTGGGGACTGAACCCAGGGCCTGTGCATGGGGGCGAGCTCTCGGTGGCTGAGCTGTGTCCCAGGGCCTGATCCAGGGTCTATCCAGGATCCCGCGTGGCATGGAGCAATATTTTTTTCAGTTGACAGAAAAATGTATTCACTTGTCTGTTTTTATTTTTGACTGGCACATGGTGACCCAGTGTGCAGATGGACCGGGGCCTCTGCATGCTGGGCAGGCACCTGCGGCCTGGTCACTTTCCCAGCCCCAGGGTGGCATTGCCACACAGCAAAGGTGGGACAGATCGCAGGGACCGGCACATCCATCCCTCCGTCACCGACCCTCTCTGTATCGAGAACATTCAACCCTCTGCACCCCACGGAGGGAGACCTCCTTTTTCAAACGCAAATTCTTTTAACAAAATAAAACCACACTTTCTGGTGCTTCGTCCATTGCAGCGGTGGGGAATCCCTCACTTCCCGAGGCACCTCCTGGCCCCAGATTCTCCCTTGAGCGGCAGGAATCAGGAGACCTGTCCCCGAACTTCTTCCAGTATTTTTTATGCTGATTCACTTTGGCACTGGGGGCTGAACCCAGGTGCTGTGCCACTGAGCCACCCGGCCCTCTTAGTCCTGTAGGTTGAGACAGAGTCTTGCTAAGTTGCTGAGGCTGGCCTCAAACTTGCCACCCTCCTCCCTCGGCCTCCCCTGTACCACGATGCCCAGCCACTCTTCAACATCTCCTCTGCGGACTGGCCCTCTGTTCGAGCCCCCAACCCTCTGCCCAGCCCTGTGTGAAGCAGCTGGACTCCGCTCAGGCCCCATGCTGACCCCAGGTGGACACCTCATCTTTGTGCTCAGCCACACAGGACCCCCCAGGGGGGCAGCAGCCCCCCCTCTGGGCTCCCAGGTGGGTGGACTACTCCAGCAAGTACGGCTTTGGCTACCAGCTGTCGGATGGGGGCAGTGGAGTCCTGTTTCGGGATGGCACCCACATGGCCCTGCGCCCCCCAGGAAGGTAAGTGCTGGGGCTCCTTTCCCTGGAGACCACCCTCCCGGCTCCCCGAGTGGACTAGTCCTCACTCCTGGCAGGGCTCACTGCCTGGGGTCAGTGCTCAACAAGTGAGCGGGCTGCCTTCTGCAGCAAGCTGACCACGTGGGCAGCCAGGAGGGAGGGGACTCGCAGTCAGGGGGCGGGAAGAACCCACGAGCTTCAGGGGAGTCATGGGGGCAGGTGTGCCAGGCCCCCAGCTGGGGCACACCGGGGGGAGGGACAGGTCTCCCAGGCCACTGTCAGGCCCGGAGAGGGGGTGGGACAGAAGGCCCCCCCAGGCTCTGGGTGCCCCCACTCCCCCCAGCCCCCAGCTCACCCTTCAGCAGGTCTTTCTGGCCCAAGTGACAGAGACCAG